TGGGTTTTTTTTTTGTTTTTATTATTTTTTAAACAACCCTTTAAAAAACCTTCTGAGCCTGGAGACAGCAAAAAAGAGAGCAAGGCCCAGTTTTGGCCCATAGGCCACAGTTTGCTAACTCTTGAATTAGAGGACAGCACAATTCAGGATATTCAAGGTTGCCCACAATGAGTACTGCCTAGAACATGGAAGGAATATGAAGGGTGCTCCATGCCTAAAAGCCAGAAGCCAAGAAGCACAAGGGGCTCTAACAGATGGGTTGAGGTATAGCAGTGAAATAACCAGGCAAGACAACCCCTGCTCATGCCCCTTCCCTCATTTGAGACCAGATAGCTGAGAAAGGAGTAATGTTTCCAGGTAGAAACAATGCATTAGGACAGAGGGATAGGGTATTATTTCTAGGTGCTAGTAGCATTCAGGAAAAAAAAAAAAAAATAGAGAATACATAATCCAGAAGACCAGCCATAAATGGGTCCCAAACAGCATCATCCCATATTGCTATACCATATTCTGAAAACATTATCAAGCTCAGCTGTAGCAATTACATTCTCCCTTCAGCATGGGTGAGCTGGGTCAGCAGAGAATGCAGACTAGCTGGCAGAGAGTCTCACACAAAAATGAGCTCACTAACAGCAATCCAGCTGAACACTGGAGAAATGCAAATTAAAAAGACTAACAAAAAAATTTGCAGAATCCACAGAAGAAACAAAAAAGCAGTATTAAATATAATTATTACTCTTGGAAAGATAAAGAAAAGTAGAACCATGAAACGAAAGAACTATTACAAAAATCCAACATATTTTAAAAATATTTTAACATTATACACATATTTGTACATAGTAAATATTTTTTAAGTATATATTTTTAAACAAAAATAAACTGTTGAAACATTTATTAGAAGGACTGAATAAGCCACCCAATGTACAAGTTTTAGAGAAATACATTAAACAGAGAAATTATCCAAGAACTTAGAATGAAGAGATGAAAAGTATAAAAGAAATGTTAAGAGACAAATGAATCCAACTGGAAGTTTCATCATCTTAAAAAAGTTCCATAAGAAGAGAATAGAAAGAATGGTAGAAAGGCAATAATTA